GTGCTGACTGCAAGAGGAACGGGTGTATCATGGCGCAGAACAAGGTATGTTGCCTGGCTGGCTTTCCTCCCTGCTGCCACCCCATGAGTCTTGTGCAACCAGCTTCCCAGCCCGGCTGTTCACACGGCCGCAAGCGCCAGCATACCGCTGCTGGAAACGCTTCCCTGCCAGGCAAGCTTCAGCTCGCCCCCAGCACCTGTGCCAGTTCTCCTTGGCCAGCTGACGCAATGCATTCCTCCCCGCGCCACCTTGCCCAGCCAGCTCCACCACCCTCCCAGCCTGCCTTTGGTGGGGTTTCAACCAGGTTACATTTCCCAACATGTCCTCTCTGCCCCCTTCCAACCTCTGCTTGAGACGACGCTCCTGCTTGCACTTCACGGCTGCCTCCAAGCCCTTTGATGTTGCTTTGTCTCCATATCTGGCCCTCAATACCACTGCAGTCACTCCTGGAGGGCTAGAGGTGGTTTTCAGAACAGGAGGCTTCTTGCCCCAACCAGAGATGCCCCTAAAACTAAGGCTTTAGTCATTCCCCAAAATTGCAACTTCCTCCTGCAACTGCCTAGGAAAAGGAATTGAAATTCTCCTGCTGATGTACTGGCCAGTGAGGAAGCTAACGGGGAGCAGCACGGAAACAGTCCCCACCACCAAAGGGGAGCAGCTAGAATGAGTGCAGCCTATGACTTACTTCCATGGTGACCACAAAGTTGACTCAGGTCTCTACCAAACCCTCTCAGCACAGCAAGCCAAAAGAGACCAAGCTGAAAGACTGCATGGTCCTGTCTGAGCCCCTCTCCTCTGAGGCTGGTCCCAGGGAGAGAGGAGATGTGCTTTGTGGGCTGTGCAAGCTCAGCAGTGACATGCGTTAGCGAGGCGCTGCTTGCTCCTCCCCGCCCATGCTCCCCATATGCGCTGCAGCTCGGAGCTCAATGTTATACAGCACAGAAATAAAAGCAAGCAGGAAGGGTCGCAGCTGGTCTGCTGCAATGCCTGCCTGGCCACTAAGCACTACCACAAAAAAACTGCTTTAATTCACCTTCAAGGCAACATTCAATGTGGTCAGAGCTCTGACCAGAAGCTGATTTTCCAAAAGCTAAGCCATGTGCATGGCTCTGGAGATTAGTTCAAGCCTCACTGTCAGGAGCAGAGAGCAGACCTCACATGTGGACCAGCATCCGGCAGGTGTTTCAGGCGGCCTGTGCACCCACACCAGGTGTGTGCACACACACATAGGTGTGCATGTCAGTGCAGGTGTAGGAGCAGCGTCCTCTGGTGGTGCAAGGCAGGGGAAAGCTCAGTGCACTAGAACAGCTTGAAGAGATTTCCTGCTACAATTAGAAGAAATTACAATGGAAGAAATACAGGCAGATAGTCCAAACTTGTTTTCTAGTGACAGATAAACTGCAAAACTTAGACCAAGTTTTCTGGGCTGGCGGTAACTGAGTAGAAGCTGTGTGATTTTTTTTATTGCCCATCAGTTAATAGGGTTCACAAACATCTGGATTTAAAGACTGCCCGAGAGGAGCCAATGCATGGTTACCTCACTGGGTATCTTTTTTCTGACAGTGAAAACCAGATGCCTTCAGAGGAAAGTGAAATAATTCTTCATATCCACAAATACAACTATAATCAAATCTCCATGTTAGGTTTACTCTTAGTCTCTGATTGCTAAAGATTTACTTGAAACATGGAATGTCGTATCTGCTCTATAAAACACTGCACACAGTAAGGTACTGGGAATTCTTAATGTCTAGCTACATATCACCGCCTTTCCTCTTCCACTCCTAGGGCTGGATAAGTAAACTCATGATTTCCGTTGTCCCTTCAGAAAATAATTTACCCAAAGATAATTCCTGCGTTTTGTATTAGAGCACCCAGCTGGATACGAGCAAATGAATCACAGAAAAAGCCTGTCTTCAGGAGAAGAATCAATGGGTGAGAGCAACAAGATGACCTGAAATACCCATGCCCCTTTTTAAGTTCCATGGTAGAAATGCAAAGGAAGGGTTTAATTAACTTCTTCATAACTATAGTTCTTGAAATATGTATTAAAACTGTCTCGAAACAAAAAAATGTATCCACAAAAGTCTTGCTTCAGCCAAGAGATTAATTCTTAATTTTATTTGTGAGATTATTCAAATGCAGAAAGAGTCTTTCGGATACTAAAGGCATTGCTAGCTGGCTTTCAGTGCATTACCACAGGAAGTCTTGGAATCCAATTATCTCTGAAGCAATATGTTAAATATGCTCATTAACATGCAAAAAAGTAGAAAAGTGTATTAGAGAAAAGCTAATGTATCACACTTCTTAATGTCACAATGAATTAGCAATAAAAAGGGTTGCATCAGAAACAACTTGCTGGAATACCTAGGTAGCATAGGAAAATAAGGCATTTCACTTCAATTCGCTTAATTCCTGATAATGACATAGATGTAGTGATAAGCTCTCTGTATAATAGGCTCCAGCTCTCACAAAGTTTAGGAATTGCGCTTCGCCTGTGGAACAAGGAGGGAGGCAAGAAAAGGGAGGTTAGCTAAAACCTCAGAGTAAACTGCCTCTTGGCTCAACAAGCAAAAGAGAAGGCAAGAACAGGCAGAAAAGGTACAGGCAGTGGTTTAGGAAGGGAATAGTTACAAATAAAACTTTGGGGTCCCATGCAGGCACTAACTAGCCACTTGTTTTTATCCTAACCTCCCAAAGTGAGCTCCCAGCCATCCAAGCCCTGCAGCCCTTCAGCTCTCCAAGACCTATGTTTAAAGGCTTTCTCACATTAAACCTTCACTGTGGCACTTTCCCTCCGTCATCCCTACTAATCTACACTTCTAATCCTTCTTGCTGAGCAGGAACAATCAAACTGAGTCACACAGGTATAAACAATGATTACTTTCTTTATTTTTATTGAGAAATTGAATATATACTCTGCCTGTCCAGAGGAGCTTGTTTGCCTGCTGCCCCAACACATTTTCTGCCAGTGAGCTCAGAAGTCAGAGCTCCTTTGGCAAATACACCTCAAAAATTTGTGGTAATTACAGCAGGTTTGCCAAGCAAACAACATGCTGCAGACTCATTCCCTCCTCTGCCACACCTTGCACCTTTCCTCTGTGGCAAATCAGCCTTGGAAATTCAGCCAAGATAAACATGCATCTCGGCTGCTTTGAATGTAAACTCCCAAAGTATTTATTTTTCCCATGAACACAACTGCCATCCCAGGGAAGGAGTGAACATTCACGTTAAAATCAGGCTCTGCCCCTCCTACCCTGATTTTTTTTGAGTTGCAATGTTAACATCATCTTTTTTAGCACCAGCACAGCTTGGAGATCTCAGGGTGCTGGGAAATCTCTGCACCAAGCATGCCTCAGAGGCCTGCTAGCCTCCTTTCATACTGGCTGAAAATGAAGTCAGGGCTCGAGCTTTAACTTGGCCAAAAACACCACGAGCTAGTTGTAGAGGCAGGAGAAGAATCTGTGGCTAGACTGTGCTTCCCTCAAATCATGGCGGAGACAGCACAGGGCAGGAAATGCTCAGAGACCTGGGAGAACCTGCATCATTCTTCTGCTGCCTGAGCACAACACAGCTGTCTAATGGCAACTTGCTCTCCGATTCATGCTCCTTCAATTCACAGTCCCCCCTCCAGCTCTTCAGGAAACTAGAGACATCACACGCTCTTGCACACATAAAATGCTGAATCTGGCAGAGGATACCCTACATGAGAGAAATGCAGCTCCTAACTCAGGCCCATAGCAGGCAGGCATAGGTGATGCCCCAGTGAAACACTTTTGAGTAATACTAAGTGATTTGGCTCTGCTGGACTAGCAGCTTTCCTGGGAAAGAGCAATGCAAATACTTTGCTGTGCCAAGTTGCTCTCAGGCAGATCAGCTTCTTTTCAGACCCTTTTAAGGGATTGCTCCCACCCCCAGGGTCAGGCAGCTGCATCAACTTTGCTGCCGTTATTGCAACCCCCCAGGCTCCTTAGAAACGAGGAGCGAGCTCGTTCACAACTTCCCTGCCTACTTCCCACCTGTCTCAATCCAGCACCACTGAAGCTTCAGGTGATTTCATTAGCACAAGAGGATCAGAAACACCTGCTGCCTCCTTCCTGAATTCTCTAGATTGCAATTTATTTCCAGCTGTACTAAAGGTGATTCCCCCCCCCCTTATGTAGTTCTTGCTCTCTTTGCATTTCTTCACATATCTTTTGACCCTCTAACCTTCTCTGTTTCCTAAAGCATGTATGAAATCCTGTACAACATAAACCTTGTATATTGTTGCCTACAGGAGGAGGATCTGCCCTCCTCAGAGCCTGGGTGAGAGATTCAAGTAGAAATAACTCCAGCAAGAATGTACTTCTCCCCCCTTATGGCAGCTTAATGAAAAGGTTAGCAGCAAGCACTCAGCGTTAGAGAAAAGTAGTGTATATTCAGATATGACAAAGGTTGATAGATCAATAAACAGAGAGATAGATAGGAGGAGGGAAATAAAAGCATGATTTCAATTACAGCTCAATGAGCAGCACTGAAAATCTCCTTCCTACACTTCAGAGCTAGGTTCAAGCTGACCAAATTCAGAGCTGAACTTTGAACATTAAAGAGAAAAACTAGAAAAGGCATTGCTAGAGGCTTCAAGAGACCCTAATCATCACAGTTATCAGCATGGCATTTCTAAGCTCCAGAGCTTTCCCTCCCTGAAAGGCACTGCCAGGAACCATCCACCTTCCCCAGCAGGCAACTGAGACAGACAGGACAGCATTGCAGAACCAACACCCACAGCCTCCCAAGCTTTACCTAAGGGCTCCTCGGATGCCTTATTTATCCCCTCCTGACCCTGCACACCTGCAGGCCCTTTACACAAATGCACTCAGAGCCATTAACCCTCCCTTTCTGCATGGAGCCACCCAGGGCATTTTCCTCATGGTGCTTTTTTTCTAATAAAATACAACCAGTTTTGTATTTGTTGTGTCCAAATATCACCTTGTACATTAAAAGCTATACTGGTTTCTGTCATTCATTTTTTTCATTCTCTCTTAATAGCCATTTACTGGCCAAGAAAAGAAGTTTAAAAAGTGGAAGGCTAAAGTTAGGACACTTAAAAGTCTTACTGAAAGTGGCCAGCGAAGAGCTTTCATCTCACACTGCATTTGTAGCAGCCAGGGGGAACGAAAGTGTAGGGAGTTATAAAATAATTTCCAGAGAAACGAGTGTGCCTCAGTTTCCCCAGCCAGTAAATGGTGATGCAGCTGCAGGATCAGCTGCACAGCACCACGCCCCTAGTCTGCTCCAAATGCCTCTTGGTGGCACTATTTGAAAAGATTTCTTCACTTGACACCTATCTTGCAGTCAGGAGAGGGGGAGTTTCTGGAAGGAATCATATGCATCTTAACATCACAATTTTCTGGGGTTTTTTTTCTTTTTTTTTTCTTTTTTTAAACTTCAAAATGAAAGCATTCCTGGTGGCCTCCTCCCCTGGGTGTCAGAGCGGCCCCATGTCACTCCCTCGGGGATCGCAGTCTCACAAAACACCTTTGCCAAACATGCGAATCACAGGCATTCCTCAGGCATCACCTTATACAAAAACCTCCAGTGGTAAAATAGCCTCTTCGGTAAAATGCCTCAAAAATGTGTCTGCAGGTGGGGCAAGCTTAGGATGGACCCTGCAATAACTTCTGAGAAAAACGTTAGTGCAGAAGTTAATGAGGAAGAGATAAATGAAGACACGGGATGACAGCATAATTGGGCTAGAAACGTTTCAGGGCACCCTGTGGAAGAGGTGTCTCCTTTGCAAGATGCAGGCTATGATTACAAACCCTATTTAAGACCACCAATAGCTGATCTGCTTTAAACTCCACTCCTGAAGCTCAGCTGTTCCTATTGCTGACCTAGGTAAGCCTGGATATACAGAAACTCATTTATTTTCACATTGTCTGACTTTGCTACTGGCAGTAAAGCAGGAGCTTTTGGCCATGAATGTCTTCCTGGAGCTACCACTGCTGAGCTCTCCTAAAGGAATTTCTATGTTGGCTTTTTATGAGTCAAAAAATTCATAAAAGAGACCTAGAATCATAATATTCTGTGGCTCATTTGAAGCAACGTGCATTCACAGCTCTGTTCTGCTCCACATAAAGCCAAATTAAGGCCAAGGACAAGATTTTTTTCTCCCCTCTCCTGCTATCTGCCTGCTTCCCCAACCTTTCACTTCTCACTGTCCTTCATCTCTCCAGCCCTCACTGCTCATCCTCGTACCCAGCTGTCTCTGCAGCGAGTCAGAGATTCATTTTTCCCGTGAGTCCCTTCTTGTTCTCCATTTTCTTTCTCTTCTTCTACTTTATTCTGTCTACCTCCTTTTCTGGCAGTTCTTTCTCTCTCTGTCTTTCTGTCCAGCTGTGTTTTTCAAGAGTAACTTAAAAAAAAAAAACATACAAAGACTCCTTTTTGTTGGTGCTTTTTTTGCAGGCTGACTCAGGTTTGCAGGGAGATGGCCCAGCTCCAGGAAAACATCAACAGCATCATCACTGCTTTCTATGCATATGCCCAGAGAGATGGGGACTGCAGCACCCTGAGCAAGGAGGAGCTGAGGCAGCTCATCCAGCAGGAGTTTGCAGACGTGATAGCGGTGAGGATCCAGCTTGCAGCCAGTGTCTGCCAAGAGGGTGCACAGAGGTTGCAGGGCCGGGATCAAAAGTGTAGCAGAGTCAGTCAAGCCATGCTCTCCATTGCACATGTGTGCACCCGGCTTTTTGGGAAAGGCAAGGAGATGTTCAGAGGTGAGAGGATCTGCAGCAAAGAAGGTGGTTATTCATTCTCCCAGGGTTAGCTGCTTGCAGAGCACAGCGCAGGGAGCCCGGATTTCTGCCCGGAGACTGCGTCAGCCCTGCTCAAACACTCTTAGATGGAGACAACACAAAGGGTTAACAGACTTTGCCACTGCTGCTTGTTTCTTTACAGAACCCCCACAACCTGGAAACTGTGGAGAAGGTGCTGTGCTTCTTGGACGACGACACCAATGACAGGGTTGACTTCAGTGAGTTTCTTAGTCTGGTTTTCTGCGTGGCGAAGGTTTGTTACTCCTTGTAACAAACTGCTCAGGCAGTACCACAGACTGGAAAGTGGACACGAGCTGACAGCCCGAGAGGAGGCAGGCAGGGAGCAGCAGCCAGCAGGACCACATGCAGCTGAGAGGGTCTCCTACCACTGGCAGATCCAAGAGCAGGGAACAAACAATCAGGTCCATAAGGGTGAGACCCCAGACACCCATCAAACCCAGGAGCCTGAGACATCAGATCAGGGCCCAGACACCCATCAGGCTGATGGGACAGAGGCACCAGAATGGGACCCAAACAGAGTTGAGATCCTGCACATTGAGACCACAGAGCGGGACCAAAATACTTGTCAGGCTGATGAGACTGGGACTCCAGGACAGGACCCAAAAACCCACCAGGCCCAAGAGACCAAGACACCAGAACAGGGTCCAAAGTACCACCAGGCCCAGGATGCTGAGACACTAGAGAAGGCCTCGAGCAGCCATCAGGTCCTGGAGATGGAGTCAGCAGAGCCGGACCTGAATTGTCCCTCTGAGACAC